TGGTTTATCCTCGCTGTGTGTGTTTCTTGTGCTCAGCAATGCGAACTTCCAATGGCCTTTTAGTTTCACCGATTTATAATTCTCCACACTCGCAGGGTATCCGATAAATGCAATTCTTGGAATCGCAGTCTGCGTTTGGTGGCCAGGTTTTCGTGAGGCTGCTACGGATAGTGATCCCAGATCTGAAGCAGGTCCTGATGTTATACTTGGACCCAATCCGTGTTATCCTTTCCGATAATCCTCTGATGTAGGGAAGTACAAGTACTGGTTGTAGCGGCTTCTCTTCCTTGTGGAGTTCTTGCTGTCTTCTAGCTGAAGCCTGTTCTACCATCACTTTGGAGTAACCATTCCGTTGAAGGTAATTTTTTATGATGCCTAGTTCCTTTTCGAGACCATTCTTTGTATTAAAGAGCCCAAAAGCACGGTCCAGTAGAGTCTTGATGATTCCTCTCTTAGTCGATTGATGGTGGTTGGATTTCTGGTTCAGATACTGTCCTGTGTGAGTGGGTTTTCGGTATACAGATGTTCCCCATTTAGTGTCGGTCCTTTCCACCAATACGTCTAAGAAAGGCAATTCGTTGTGGATTTCCTTCTCCATTGTGGAAGTGATGGAAGGCCTTACGTCGATGTGCTTCAGGAAAGTGTCTAGTTCTGCATTCCCATGGTTCCATATTATATATGTGTTCACATCGTGGTCACATCGAAGTGAATAGTTCAGAAATCAACGAAATACACCATAACTGATGTTAAGGTATCATTATAGAAAGATCGGTCGGTTCGTCGTGTGTGTTCTGTTCACTCACTTGAATCGACAGCCGTGTTGGTCGGTAGTTCAAGCCCCAGGCTGAACGATTGATTTTCACTTGCTATCGTCCAACCCGTGTTAGGAATTACATGTTAACAGGTGTTACCTCGTTAGTCCAAGTTTCGACTCCTGAAGGTTGTCGTTCGTAGGGGTGCGACAACTTGTTAACGGCAAAACAGATTTCAAACAGACATTTGAAAAAAAAATCAAATGAATGATCCAATAAAAAATCAGGTTTTTTGTCAGCAAAGTTCATATTTCACCATAACCTTCCAGGCAAAATACAAATACTATTGAAAATGGAATATTCCAAGTGAAATCACAATTTTTTTATATAGTCATTACCATTCATTCACGTCAAATCATCAAATTTCATTGAAATTCAGAAAATTTCTATAGAAAGGTGACGAGAAAACGGACTGTTTTTCCGGAGTCTCATGAAAAAAAATCTTTCAAAAAGGTGTTTTGGATTTACTTATATTGTTTCAATAGTTATAGATTCTTTCTGTTATTTGGTAACTGATTTTGTGTGCTTCATGAGTTGTTAATGAACAGGTGTATTAACTTCGTTAGGTTTGCTTTGATATCACCAATAAGAGGAATACCGTAAATGAATTATCATCAATTTTCCCTTTATATTGATATAAAGTTTGGATGAAACACACTTTAATTTTTAAATTATTTTTCTCAAAGTATAATTTGTTGTGTAGGCCATGTCATATTTTTTCCAGAAAACATGTTGTAATACTGGTGGGTGTACCAAAGAGTTCATTGTGCTATGCTGCAGGCAGGTATCACGTCGTGGAAAACCAGCCCCTCCAATTTTACTCTGATATATACTTCAAAAAATTCTTGTCATTGAGATAATTTCCCTGCATCCATAAGCAATACTCCATACGGCGGATTTCATCTCCTTCGTGCAAAGTATGTAAAAATTTGCAGCGGGTATCGCGTCGTGGAAAACCAGCCCCTCCAATTTTACTCTGATATATCGGCGTGACGTCCAGTGTACAGTGTTGCCGCCATACAATATAGTACATCATTTTTAGACTTTTAGATACTCAACTTTGTCCATCAAACAAAGTAACTCAAACAATGATAGATGTGTGGCAGGTTTCGCGTCGTGCAAAAACCAGCCCCTCCAATTTCACTCTGATATATCGGCGTGACGTCCAGTGTACAGTGTTGCGCCATACAATATAAAACATCATTTTTAGGATACCACACACAGGATACCACACCACACATTTGGTCTCTACAATTCACCACCCAATTTGGATTTTGTTCAGCTCAAAACCTCATGTTCCGGGAAGATGCAACACCATTCGTGGTAAAGGTAGCCTCATCACTGTATAAGATATACTTCAAAAAATTGAGATAATTTCCCTGCATCCATAAACAATACTCCATACGGCGGATTTCATCTCCTTCGTGCAAAGTATGTGAAAATTTGGGTTTGAACGCATACATTTTATGCCTCTTCAAACACCTCCATATTTTACTGCGGCTCATATTGAGTTGAAGCGATAAGTTTCTTAAACTAATTCTAGGATCAGCTTGATGAGCCGCCAATATCGTATCATCATCAATATGATGTTTTACAATTTTTCTGTCCTTTGTTACTTGGCCGGTGCTCACGAATAGATTATATATTTTATGTACATTTCCAGGGTGTACAGCTACCTCTACCGGGTGACTTCTATTAAATTCAGCGGCCGCTTCACGACAAGACCTTACCCCTTCACCAACAATTAAAACAATTTCAATTTTTGTTTGAAGTAACAGACGTGCCATGTTGAACTTTGTCAATCTAAATGAGCTGATATCAGTTAAAATGGGAACTTCAGAAACATTAAAATATGAACAGAAACTCACGAACAGAAAACAACTGGAACACAGGAACAATATCCAACACAAATACAGGAACAATAAACACAATGGGAACAAAAACACGGCAGAAACAACAGGAACAACGGTGATTCAAAGAACAACAATACTATAAATAACAAATGCAATGAAAACTGGTCTGGGGGTTAATACAACAAGATCTTTCAACAATATTGTCAGGTTGACAGTAAATATTAATGAGCAACTGTTTTCCATGGTGATTTCAGAGCACCGCATGATTCAATGAAAGTGATGTAATTCAATCCCTTTGAATGATTCAAGACAACAATTCAGCAAGTAGGTAAAATAATCTAAATTCTACCTGTTCATCGAGTGCGATTTTTTCTTTAAAAATCAACAGTTATTTCGGTGTTGCAATGAGTATGAAGATTAATTTTGTTTCGGATGGTAAAATAATTCCTCAATATTTTGATAAAAGACCCCGCACATTTCTTATGAGAAATGGCTTGCCTTGAATTTTGCCGAAATTTTGATATGTTGTAGTTCTTGATGTGCTGATTGAAAGTGTCGACAGCCAAAGCTCAGAATTGTACAGTTTTCGAGATGTGAACCTTTGAATATAGATTTTTTCCATTTTTTGCAGTTTCTGCTCATCAATCGAGAGCTCTCACTTCTGGTTGGGATAGAATTTGGATGTTCAGCAACCAGAATTAGTTTTACGAATAATCTTCTTCAGTTATAATAGATGCCGCCATCGATAATTTTTCATACACTGGTTCACATTATCTCGATAATCTGAGAATGTGGTGCTGTGACATTTTCCTCAGATAGGCTCAAAATGGATGATAGCATCTCAACATGAAAAATATCCCAAAAAAATATGTTGAATACTAGGTATGGATACCAAAACAGTTTCTTGTGGTTTCTCATAATTCAATATTATCTCTTAAGTGATATGATCTCCTATTCCAACATAATGTTTTTGGTTCTGTAGATAACTCTCTGTATAAATTGTTCAAACCGAAAAATATAATTTTCCCTTCTCACCAAATGATAACTCATGACTGAGTTTCAGTTCGAATTGGAAAAAAAATGGGGACTTTCCCTCTAATTCTTCATGAATACCAGTTGTGAGATGAAAAAATGCGTGCTTAGTAGATACATCACTCTGGAAACCAAATTGAAATTGAAAAAAAAATATATTCATCAATTTTCAATTTCATTATATTTTAAAATACTTTGCTTGTATTGAAATCAATATTGGATGATAATTTTTCAACTGTATATAATCTCCTGCTTATTATAGTGGTTTTGATAATTGAAAAAAAAATGGTTGGTTGGGTGACAGAATCAATTTTTTCTTGATAAAAAAAAATTGTTTTCTCGCCGATATGAAACCATGTCGTTTTGTGTTGGTATTGTCTCGGAAATTTTGGTTGTTCGTATTGTTTCGTTTATTTTTTGAATATGTATCAAATGTCTGATGGTTTTTGGAATAGTAATATCATTAACACGAAAAAACTACTTCTCGAGCCCTGAAGACGAATTTAATAAAATTCGAGAAGTCGGCAAGAAAACAATTTATCCTGTTACCCAACCAATCTTTTTTCAGAAAAATTATTGGTTCACTAAACTAGTTAACTGGTTTTGATAATCTTATTTTGATTATACCGGTATATTAACCAGTTCTTATTATTAAATTGAATAAGTGCATAAGTGGTTTTGCTACTTGTTTTCGAAATATCAGAAAATATAACATCAATACCTTGTTGTTTGTTCTCAAACTATATAATTTTTATAATTTTTCAGTAACTGAGATTTATTTCAGTTTGAAAAACTGATACCTACAATTGCAATATATTCATTGAAATTCCATCGAATACGACATTATTGATTCCGATCTGGCAATTCATTGTTGCGTTTTCATTAAAAATATTCACAGTTGATTTTCACAAATTTTCATACGAAATTCATGAAGGTTTCTTTTTATGTTCCTTATTGATTTTCTCAACTTGAAAAAAGTATATTTCTGGGGAGACCAATTTTTGAAAAAGAAATATTTTTGCCTTCATCTTAATATAAGAACGTGAAATTATACAAAAAGCACTATTTTCTATTCAGTTTGTACTGTTAACATTCGTTATGGAATTGAATCAGATATCATTCAAAAGATTGCTACACATTTTTTTGCATGAAGATTACAAAGCCTAAACCCGTCGTTCACAACAAAGTGAATAAATATCATTCAATTCCTTCTGAAAATTTCTCAATCATGAATGAATCACTAAAAGTTTTCAGTACCTTCCAGTTTCTCTTTTCTATTATCATATAAATAACAAGCAATTTCAGATCAATATATGTATTGAGAACCATTTGGTATAGAATTTTCAGCCCTTTCCCTGCCAATATATTCCAAGCATTCCGAAGGGGTATGAAATAAATTCAGTATGGTGTCGGGTCAAGCCCTGTGTTGAGAGAATAATTCCGGTACATTCCGGTTTTCGCCAGGGCTTTAGAGAATTCCTGATTGTTGGGAAAGAACGATGTGGGAACGCTGTGGATGGTGGGAGCGTGTCTGAAAGAGAAAAATCATGTCATGCAGTTTCCATAAGTTATTGCATTCATACTTTCACAAATGGATTCATATAAAACACCTTTCCCACACCGGTCAAAAATACTGTGTCTCTGCGCGTGTTTTGCTAACAAGTTGGCATCATCAGCAGATGGGAGAGATGAATTTCATTTATTGATCATCGGATGGTAACTTTCGCATCATTTTTCAAAAGCCGCGAAAACATTTTTGGATCAATTTTCTATAACATGTAAGTCTGGTTTGAACAATGATAGTACGATGAAAAATATTCTTTTAGGAAACTACATTCTGCAGGTCACAGATAGACTTCGAGGAATGTGATATATTCAAACTATTTTTCAATTGTTTTCAATGTATTACTCGAAATAATAATACTGCAACGTATCTTGAATCAGGAATGAAAAATACCATCCTACACAGCGAAAAATTTATTTCATGTTGTTGTAGTTGTTCGTAAAATAATTTTCTGCTGCGAACTGGTTTATTTTGGGCAAAAAACCCAAGACACATTTTTTGTTCAGAAGGAAACAGGCTATCGGAAATAAATTTTTAAATGATAAACAAATAATAAGACAAAAAGTTACATTGAAAATAAACTTTAGGGGTTCCGTTTTCCACCCCTTATAAGCATGGGGTAAACCAAATAAACTTCTGGCTGAGTGTCTTTTTAGTAGCACAAAACGTCAGGTCAATTTCAATATTGTAACTTTTTTATTGCTTTTGAAAAAAATTGTTATACAAATTTTATGTACCCCCTTTGAGGGGCTGTATCTTGACAAGGGATGCTCCAATGAAATTTCTTCATATGAAAGATCCTATCTTTTTTTCGATGAGAAATGACCTCCATAAATGTTTTACACTTATTCGGTTACATCCTGTATAATTGTTGTTCAAATATTACTGTTAATATATTACTGTTGTATCCTATACTATATAAATATTATCATATGAAAGCTTCAGTGATGTTCCATGTCTATTTTCAAAGGTGGGTAGCCTTTTTCCTTTCTGTATTTTTCTATTTTTGAAAATAAACATTATTAATATTTGTTATTACTATTAATTTTCATCAAGTAACGGGTCAGAGTATTCATGAATTATAAGAAGACACTGGTTGACGAATATATTCTAGTAACAAACAATATTTGTCCTGTATCTGAAATCTAGCGACATACATTTCAACCAACGAATCGATATGCCATTCGAACCCTGTATCTATGTCTACGTATTTACCTTCCGTAATCGCTGGAAGTGGTCCTGTAAAAGGGATGTTCGGCCGGTTTCCTCTGTATTCCGTATCCGTGAAACCAAGAGGGGTATTCAAATCGCTTCGGAAGTCGGCAAGTTTTGTAAAAGTCCGAGGTTTTCAGTGAGGGAGAGTGGCCGTCTTCCAAGTCCGGGCAATCCATCTCATAAATGATTGAAAGAGCTTTTAAAGCTGCTCGAACTCAAAAACGCTTACTATGTCTGTGCACCTCCTACTAACTCTCTATACAATTTTCCAAATTCGACTCTGCTTGACAGACGTCAAAGAGAGAACTCACGGCGGCGCGCCTTATTGATTAAACTTCCTATGGAAACTGTTGGACTTGATGGCTAATTTCGGGTTTTTGACGTAACTCTGCGTTCGCTGGAAGTTTCTTGGGAAATATTAATAAACCTTTATGAGTTTCACTTGTCCGAAGTATTCCCCAGGAGCATGAGAGCTTTCAAATAGACCTATTTGAGAAATGGTGCGTCAGCTGAATTTTCTCGTGTTTCCGAAATATTAAATATATATCGATTTGCCATAGATTCATGTTTCATGACAAGGTGTGTTGTGAAGGAGATTCTAGGAGAAACTATTTCATGACTTAAATGTGAATCTTCTGGTGTAGAATAAATACAAAACAAGTATTACAACAAAACAACGACTAGAAATTTATCACACTCCTTGGTGCTCATTTCATCAACCAAGTTGGCATTTCCAACAGGATACACTTCTTTCCAGTTACTGGTAGACAGTGTGTTGAGATTGACGGTACAAAGTGTTACTCAAATCACTGTGATGAGACCATTTCTTCTCATGGTCTACATAAATGGTTCGTTTCATCTGAATACTTCTTGTCAAATTATCAGTTTCGCCGATGATGATGCCGTCTTGTAGACTTTCCCAACTTCGAAAAATATAAGGAAAATTCAGTGAATATGAGAAGGATTATTTAATTAACCCGGGAAAATTTTACTGTATGGGATACTCACGGATTTTCGAGATTTTTTTGTGATGATACTACGTGATGGTAGGAATTCAGAACACTTCCAATTTTTTGTCGGACTCAGTTAGTTTTCGAGATAAAGCCTGCCAAATTTTGTATGATGTCATATTTTCATTTTTTTCAAGCAATAAACGATTGCAATTCACATATTTTTTATTCAACACATCTTTTTCCATATCATCGCACTTTTTTCTATCCCTTTTCATTCACTTATTGACAAGTTTCTTGAAATTAGATTGAAATTCCACAAGTCAACCTAACCTAACCCAACCCGACCTAACCTAACTCAGTCTAACCTTACTTTAGAATTTTAAAGAACTATGTATCCTCAACATCTAACCTGACCTTCAAATTCTAAAAGGAACGTATTTTCGAATATTCACTTTTGTAAAAACTATCTTTTCTCAACATCTAACCTGACCTCCGAATTCTAAAAGGAACGTATTTTCGAATAGTGAAACTTAATGCAATTTATAAAAGTGATTTGTGTGCACCTGAAAGATTATGAAATTTCATTCTAATTTCAGGAAACTCGGCAATAAGTGATTGAAAAGGGATGGAAAAAAGTGGGATGATATGGAAAACTTTGTGTTGAATGAAAAAATATGTGAATTGCAATCGTTTATTGCTTTTAAAAGAAGGTCATATGACGTCATACAAAGTTTAACAGGTTATATATCGAAAACTAATTGAGTCCGACAAAAAATAAAAAGTGTTCTGAATTCCTACCATCATGTAGTATCATCCCTGACAAAATCGCGAAAATCGGTGAGTATCCCATGAAGCATAATTTAGCCATTAACTTTTTGGAAACAAATATGGGATAACTGAACCAGTTGATTGATAAAACAAACCATTGTAAAAGATTTCACCAAAATTTCGAAAGTTTCCAATATAATAATTTGCCTGACACTTGTCATTTACGTTTGATGTCAAATTACCCAACTTAGGCTCTCTGGTGACAGGTTTGAACGAAGATATTCATAAAGTGAAATACTTTTGTGTCACGGACTTACACATGAAACAACTTGTCAAAAAGCTAAGGGGATTTATGCCTGAATTAGGATAACCCAAGAGGTTTATGTATGTTCGACAATTTAATATATTAGATACAGTCGCAACTTTTGTAAGGAGTTTTAGGATGGAACGGGTTGATGATAATTTTGTAGAAAGCGTAAATGTAGTTCAAGAATAGATATTCAATATTGAACCTGCCGAAATACGTAATATTTGTAGTAATCTCCTATACCAGTAATCTCAAATAATGTATGGATAAGTAATACAATAGTCGAAATCACGAATCAATCGGTTACGGCAAGAAAAACAGAGAAACATTATAAAAATTATTGTTTCATATTCTATCAATGAGAAATCTACACAGTTTTCTCCCAAATATCCCCCAGTTCTTTCTTATGTATTGATTCTCAACATACCACAGTCACGAGTATGAAATAAATTGATGAATCTTGGTATTCGATTGTTGAATTCAATCAATTTGGTGGCAGCAGAAACTCAGATCGAATATACTGAAAATTCGTTCCTTCCACACTGATATGCCTATCATTGATTGATGAGAATATCACTTAATGAACCTTTATTTCTGAATTTCAAAAAATCACCCACTAGCAGCGCTAGTAGTTCGGTAGGGACAAACACTGCCTCAGATAAATTATGAATTTCAGATTCATTTACGAGTGAAATATGAATCAAATATAGGTGAAAATGAAATGAATTTAATTAAATATAATGAATGAATATGATTTAATAAACGATCGAGGTTATATCTCATTCAAATCATTCGTAATTAACTATGAAAAATTTACTATTCATTTCATGTTTAGAGCATTCATATGAATATTCATTTATTTTTTGCACTGTTGAATCCACTCTCCTCGAAGCATGTATCCATTTCTTACATCTAACCTCATTAATATGTGGTTTTATAAATGGTATAAAAAACACGTTTCCTTCCGGATATCGATTATCCGACGTACAATTCGCAAAACAGCAATGCTTTGTTGGCATTATACTAGCACAAAATAATTTTTTATATCAGATTCATATTTGTAAATAATAAATTGGCTCACTCAAAATCTCAGACTACTTATAGAAGATCGTGATAAAGCCTTTCAAAAATTTTAAAAAAACTAAATCTGTTAATGATCGTATGAGGTATAAAGAATTGAGAAATTATGCCTTGTCAATAGTTAGAACTGAAAAAAGGACATATCTCAAGTCTGTCTGCTCTGAAAAAATACCACGCAAAACCTGGAATGCTCTTTCTAACCTCAATGTTCGTTCAAAAAAACAATATTCATTACCCAATCACCTCTCGAATCCCGATGAAATGAACAACTATTCTGCCCAATTCGTACAAAATGTTTCTAATAATTGTGATGAAAATATTGAATTTTATAGCAATATTTAACTAATCTGGCAAGATAACTTCTCATTTCGATTCGCTACTGAAGAAGGTATTCATGAAATCCTGAATGATATTAAAATTCAAGCTTCAGGGGTTGATAATATTTCAATCAGAATGTTGAAACCTTGTAGCCCGTTTATAGATAAATATATTACACATATCATTAATTGTTGTTTTGAACGTTCATATTTTCTAGACTTGTGGAAAATTGCCATTGGGAAACCCATTCCCAAGAATAATGATCCAGCTAGTTATTCTGATCTCAGAATTATCAGTATACTTCCAACCATGAGTAAAATTTTGGAAAGAGTTATTTATTTACAAATTAATGAATATTTCAATACCAATAATCTGTTATCACCATCGCAATGGTGTTTTAAGCAGGGTTTTAGCACGGCTACAGCTCTTGCTACTGTTACACAAGACATTGTTGAGGGATTTGATAAGGGAATGATCAGCACTCTGGTACTACTAGATTTTAAGAAAGCATTCCATACCATCAATCGTGAGCTGATTTGCATGAAACTCAAATATTATGGCTTTGATAGTGCTACCTTATTTCTCATCTGGTCTTATTCACTTGGTCGATCTCAAAAAGTTGTTGTTGATGGTCATCACTCCTTACCTCTTGATATTCTATCAGGAGTACCACAGGGTTCCATTTTAGGACCTTTATCGTTTATCATTTATATTACTGACATTATCTCGTCCATCAAGAAATGTAAAATACAGGCGTATGCTGATGAGGCACAAAATCTCTTCAACACTGATCTTGATTTGATCAATGGGCTATCAAGTGGACATGATTTGAAAATTAATCCTAATAAAACAATGATAATGCACTTTGGATCGCAGAAGAGTCGTAAGTTTGCAGAAAACAATTTCCGTTTAGAACTAGACCATACTATCTTGACTCCTGTCAATACAGCTGAAAACTTAGGGGTGATGCTTGACACTGATCTTAGATTCACTAGTCATGTTGGAAATTTATTGAAAAAAGCTTATATGTCATTGAAACTGTTATACTGTAATCGTTTTATTTCGAGTCAACCTCTAAAAAGATTGCTCTGTGATAGTTTGGTGCCAAGCCATTTCAACTACTGTGACTTCATTTATGGGCCATAGTTTTATGATTCAGATAAAAAAAGAGTACAAAGAGTGCAAAATTCTTGATGCTGTCCAATTTATGGACTTCGTAAGTATGATTCAATTTCTGAAGCCTTCAAAATCTCCCACTGGCTCAATATGAAAAACCGTATGATTCATCATTTGGGTTGTTTTGTTCATGAATAGATCACCCTTTCAATACAATTCAATTCTGCGTGAAAATATTCACTCAAGAAACATTAGACATAAAAACAAATCAACTATGCCACAACATCGCACTGCACAGTTTCAGAGATCATTTCTTTTTGGTGCTGTAAAACTCTATAATTCATTGCCCGAGCAATTGAAGAGATTCAATATCAGGAAATTCAAATACAAATATAAAAATTATATCTATGATGGTAATGTCAACTTTTGCTCTTCAGACAACAGATCAATTAAATTAAATCAATTATCAACTATCTTCAGAAGGTAATCACAAATTATTATTTTATTCACGGTTCTCATTTCGTGGTACCATCACTGTTAAGTGCTTTTATTTTTGTATGTTTGCGTGCATTATGGAGTGGTGCTTGTTGGTTGAGTTAGAGTAGCTTTGAGCTGGACTTCGCCAAGGAGTACCAGAATCTCCTGTAACCTATTTTCATTTTCAAATATATCTTTGTATTGTTTATTTTTTGTATTATCAATAAAGCCGATTCATTATTATTATTATTATTAAATTAATATTACGTAAATAACACTGTTCCACACGTGAATAGTTTATGTTTGTCCCTACTACTAGTGCTGCCTCTCGTGACACGTTCGCTGTACTATTCTCAGGAAAAAGGCTCATTAACTTCGAATATAGTGAACCAAAGATTCACTGATTCATTCAGAAATGTAGTTGAATTTTGTATTACCAGTTCAGTGCACTTGAAATAACTAATGGCCG